AACTGGCAGGACCTGGCGGGGGCGAGGTAAAGCCGAGTGTCTGGGATTTGGTCAAACTGGTCAGCAAAAACTCACTATTGGGCATTGGGACACAGTAATCAGCTCTGGTATAGGATCAGTGAAGGACTCTGAGGGGTAGATGTTCCCCAGAAGTGTGCACAGGAGGAAGGGGAGACACACAGCTAAGAAACCTCAACATTTATAACTTTTATTTGACAAAGAAGGCCCTAGAGCAGTTGGGGAAAGGGCTCAGGAAGGGCGCTGGGTGGGTCCTGGAGCAGTGGGGATCCATGGAGGTGTTGGAGCACCGAGTGGCCAATGTTTAGAGAGCTGATAATGGCGGGGCTAGGAAGAGAATTCAGTTGGTAAAGCATGACAACCTGAGTTTGAACCCTGCACCCACATAGAAAGTTGAGCATGACAGCATACATCTGTAATCCCAAAGTTGGGGAGGCGGAGACATGAGGCTTTCTGGGACTTGTTGGCTAGCTAGTCAAGGCAAACCAGTGCAGTACAGGCTTAATGAGAGACCCTGCTGAAAAAAAGTGGAGGACAATTGAGGAAGACACCTGACATGGATGTCTGGTCTCCACAAACAGAAGCACACATGTGTTCACCCACACAAAAATAAAAAAATAGAAAATGCTGATAAAGGTGACGTACCTTATAATCTGAACATTTAGAAACTGAAGTAGGAGGATCTACAGTTCAAGGCTAGCCTGGGCTTCATAGTGACACTCTTTCTCAAAAAATAATAACAGATGGGGTCAGTGAGATGGCTCAGTTGGTCAAGGTGCTTGCCACCAAACCTGACAACCTGAGTTTGATTCCTGAGACCCACATAATAGAAGGAAAAAGCCAAATCCTGGAAATTGTCCTGACCCCCTCATGTGCACCATGACATGTTTACTCCATAAATAAATAAATAAACAAATGTAATCAAAAATTAAGAGAGAGAGGGGATGGGAAGGAGAGAGGACTGTCCCCCAGTGCTCCTCCCCCTGCTCCCTAGGCAGCCTCCTTAGATACTTTGTGCTGCATCACTGCCATGAGTGGCCCCCACCCTCAAGAGCCAGGGCAGTCTCCCATGTCTGCTACCTTAATCCCAACGCCCAAAGCTGAGTGAGTCACACACTGCTCTGAAAGCATTTGACAACTGACTTACTGAAGAAACATATGGAGACTATCAAGGGTGTGGCAGACAGAGGCCCTTAGAGAAAAGTCTCAATCACTGGATCCATGACTCACTGACTTCCCTGGTCTTGCCAGAGAGACTTTCTCATCAGCTACTGTTAAACGCTTAAACAAATAAACGGTAATAGATACTTCCTGGGGCCTTTGCCACACAGAACTGCTCAGGTGAGGTGCAGTTCAATTCTTTTGGTTAGTTGTATTGTTGTTGGTTTGGTTTTTGTTTGTTTGTTTTTGGACAGAGTATCATATAGCCCAGTCTTGTCTTTAAGTCAATATGTAGCTGAGGATGGACTTGAATTTCTTATCCTCCTACCTTCACCTCCTGAGTGTTGGGATTACAAAGTGATCCAGCATACTCACTTTTGAGTATCAGCCTGGGACTAGAGACCTGGAGCTGTTGTGTATCAGTTTGGGAAGTTGCTTCCCCCTGCCACCACGCCTCCCCCCACGCCCCCTGCAACCTACCCCAGGCTTTTCCAAGGAAGCACACCTGCTCATCCTGGCCTATACTTCTCTGTGTGGTGTGAGTGTACCATGGTACCTGTGTGGAGGTCAGAGGACAACTCTCAGCCACCTGTTCTCTCCTTCCACCTTGGGATCTGTGGTGTGAACTCAGGTCTTCAGGCTTGCGAAGCAAGCATTTTCACTCACAGGGCCATCTTGCCAGCTCCATAAACAGAACTTTAAATTGTGGTAAAATACAGTCCATGTAAATGTTCAGGCATAGAGCTCAGCAGGACCCAGCTCTGCACTATGCACTCTCCCCACCACAACCCAGCCCTCACTCTGCTTGCTGCCTCCACACAGTGAATGACTCTAGTACCTTGTATAAAAGGAATAGCTTCTTGAATTGGTTTTCTGTTTGTTTCTTTGTTTTATTTTGTGCAATGTACACCAAGCTGGCCTCAAACTCTGTATCCCAGGTTGGCCCTGAAGTCATGATCTTCCTGCTTCTGCCTCCTGAATGCTGGGATTTCAGGTGTGAGCCATCATGCTTACCTAATACTGACTTTTTGTGATGGACTTATTTTCCCAAGTATAATGTCTTCAAGGTTTGTCTTTCACAGTAGGTATCCGATTTCCCCTTCTTTTTCTTGATTGAATTAACATTCTAACCTTTTATTTATCCATTCATTTATCTATGGATAGTTGGATGGCTTCTGCTTTTTGACTGTTGTGAATTTAGGGGCTATGAACATGTGTAAATAGCACTTTGAAACCTTTCATCTGGGTATACACCCACAGGTGGGCTTGTTGAAACATGTTATTCTAGGTTTACATTTTTCATTTTTTATTATTTATTTACTCTGTGTGTGTGTGTGTGTGTATGAAGGAGAGAGAGACAGAGAGAGAGAGAGAGAGTGAGAGAGAGAGATTGCTATAGTACATGTGTGGAGTGTAGAGGGCAACTTTCAGGAGTCAATTTTCTCCTTCCACTGTGTGGGTCCTGAGGATCAAATTCAGACTGTCAGTCTTGGCAGCAAGTGCCATTACATGCTGAGCCACCTTGTCGGCCCTTTCTGTAGGTTTTGTTTGTTTGTTTTTCCCTGTAGCCCCAGCTGGCCTGGAACTAGCTATGTAGACCAGCTGGCCTGGGACTTACATAGATCTGTCTGCCTCTGCCTCCTGAGTGCTGTGATTAAAGGTGTGCATTATCACACCTGGCACAATACTGACTATTTTTTGGAGGGGGCAATATGTAGCCCTGGCTGGCCTGGAACGCATTGTACACCAAGCTGGCCTCAAACTCACAGAAATCTGCCTGCCTCTGCCTCCCTAGTCCTAGGATTAAAGGTGTGCGCCACCAAGACTGGCTCCTTTCTGTGTTTTTTTAAGATAAGATCTCATGTAGCTCAGGTTGGACCTATGTACCTGTGTAGCCGAGGATGTACTTGAACTCTTGTTCCTATTGCTAACACCGCCTGAGTGCTGGGAAGTGCAGTTACCACCGTACCTGGCCATCAATTTTTATTTTTTAAAGAAATAGGAAGGGTTTTCCAAAGTGGTTGCATTGCTTACTTTCCCCTCAATGGTGCATAAAGGTTCCAATTCTTCCACGTGCTCATCAACACTTTACTTTTCTTTTGCACTGTTGGGAATGAAACTAAGGATTTTTGAGCATGCTAAGCCAATGCTCCAAAACTGAGCTCACCCCCAATCCCTCACTGAAGAGTCTAAGCAGGGGCTCTATTCCTGAGTCATGCCCCCAGCCCCTCACTAGGGATTCTAGGCAGGGGCTCTACCTTTGAGCCATACCCTTGGTACTCTTGTCTCCTTTGAATTGGAGGAACTGAGCTGAGGTTCAGCCTCTTGGTCTGGAAAATGGGTAGAATGTCAGAACCTTCTTGGGAGAAACTGTGTGAGATTCTCTGAGACACTGGCTTTGCAGCCCTGTGCATGGTTCTTGACTTGCCAAGCTCTGCACATTCTGCACTGCACACCTGCTCATTATTTTTATTTTATTTTATTATGTGTGTAAGTGTATCGCTTGCATGTAAATAAGTGCACCTGTGTCATGCAGTACCTGTGGAGGTTAGAAGAGGGTGTTCGATCCCTTGGAACTGGAGTTACAGATGGTTGTTAGCCACCATGTGGGTGTTGAGATTCGAACCCAGGTCCCCAGCAAGAGCAGCCAGTTCTCTTAACCACTGAGCCATCACTCCAGCCACTCACTCTTCAATTCTTATTTCCCCTTTGCTTCCTTCAGGAGCCAACCCTAAGGCAAGGATCTGGGTACCGGTAATTTATTTGAAAAGTGATTTCAGAAAATACCACTAAGGAAGAAGAAACTCAAAAGGGAACTGAAAACAGGTACTCAAACACATGCTCAGAGTAACACATTTCCCCATCCTCCAGAGCCATCAACAGATGGTGGGTGAAGCAAAGTGTGGCAGTTCCAAATAATGGAATATTACTTAGCAGTATAAAGAACATAGCTATGATCCTTGTACAGTGTGATGAGCTTGGAAAAGGCAGAGGGAAATATGCCTGGCACAAAAGACCAAATATCCTATGGTGCTTTTTATATGAAATACAAGAAAATCCATAGAAACAGAAAGGAGACCCGGCACTGTGCGAAGTGAGTGTGGTGGCCTGTGCCCTATAATCCCAGCACTTGGAGGTAGAAGCAGAGGATCAAGGCCAGCCTCAGCTGTACAGCAAGCTTGAACTAGCCTGTCTCAAAGCTTGAGACTCTGTCTCAAAGAATTAAAAGAAAAGAAATGAAGGAAGGGAGAGAAAGAGGAAAGGGAGATTAGTAATTGCCAGGGTTTGTAGGGAGGGACGAATTCAGGAGTGACTGGTTTTGGTCCTGGAAAATGTTCTGATAAAAATGTTCTGGAACTAGACAGAGGCACTGCTTGCACAATGTTATGAATTTGCTAAATATCACTGAACTATCCTTTGCTTCCTTATTAGTCTTGTAATTTTTCTTGTTTATTTTTGAGACAGCATCTTACTCTGTGCTAGTTCTGGCAAGAATTGACCTTGTAGCCTTGGCTGGCCTCAGCCTTGAGGAGGCCTTCCTAGTTCCTCCTCTCATGTCAGGATTTCAGGCATACACCACCACTCCTGGATTCTGGACCCAAACAGGGTCTCACTAAGTGGTTACTCTAGCCTGAAACTCATTGTGTAACCCAGACAGACTTTGGATTAAAAAAAAAATGTGTGTGTGTGTGTGTGTGTGTGTGTGTTACTCTCTGGTTGCAGTGAACATTCAAAATGTAGCTACCAATTTTTTTTAAAGAAGATTCATTTTTAAAAATTATGGGTATATGTGTGTGTCTGTGTGTGAGTATGTGCACATATTCTTGCAGGTACCCACAGAGGCCAGAAGAGAGCATCATATCCCCTGGAGCTAGAGTTGCAGCTGGAGTTGAGCTACCCTATATGGGTGCTGAGAACTGAACTCAGGTCCTCTGCAAGAGCAGCAAGCACCAAGTGTTCTAAATCACTGAGCCATTTCTCTAGCCCCTCGACCCCCCACCCCCACCCTGGCCTTGGATTTTTGATCCTCCTGCCTCAGCCATCTGGGTAGCTGTGATTATAGACCTGTGTTACCAGGCCCAGTTTCCTTCTCAGACTCTAAGTAACCATTACTATAAATTTCTTTTTGTTTTTCACACTTCTTTTATGGGGGAGGGGTTGGCATGTGTGTACCACAACAAACATGTTGAGATCAGAGGACAATCTGGGAGTCAGTTATCTCTTTCTACCATGTGGTTCCCAGGGATTCAACTCAGGTCCTCAGACTTGGCAGCAAACCTCTTTACCAATTGAGTCATTGCATAGGCCTAACTTTTACATACTTCTATGAACTTTTAAAAAACTTATCCACATATGAGAGAGAACTTTTGTCCTCTCCTTACCCACCTCTCTCATCTGAGGCAGCCTAGCTGTGCACCCCTCACTAGCTTCACCTGTGATCCTTCTGCCCCAGCTTCCTGAGTACTGGGGTTGTAAGCATGTGCCATCATGCTTGGCCTGCCATTTATCTTTTGGTTTGGCTTGTTTCCCTTGCTTTGCATGTTGGCACAGATCAGTCCCAGCGACTCAGGAGACTGAAGCAGAAGATCCCTTCAGCTCAGAAGTTCCAGTTTGGCCTGGGCTATATAGGCAAGACCTGTCTCAGTCAGTCAATCAATCAAGAAAATTGAGTGGCTTCTTTTGCTTAACATGATGTCAGTCTTTCACTTCCATTTATTTGCCTGAATAATATTCTTTTGTGTGAATATAACAGCCACAGGGTTACATGGGGGGAACCCTGTATTTAAAAATATTTTAGGGACTGGACAGATGACTGAGCAGTTAAAAACTGTACTGTACTTAATAAAGTTCAGTTCCCAGCACTCACATCAGGTGGTTCAGAACCTATAGGGTTCAGAACCCTATAACTCCAGCTTAAGGGATCTGATGCTTCTGTGGCCTTTGCAGACACTGCATCACATGCACTGCCTCCCCCTCCCCCCAACATACACACATACACATATTAAAAATAACATAAATAATTTAAAAAAAAAGAAAGGTGTGTGTTGACGAAGTGGAGGCCATAGATGTTCATGGAGAGGGATTCCGAGAGCCCTCTATGTGTGGGCAGGTGGCCTGCCAGTGCTGACCCATGCCTGGTGTCTCCAGGATGCTGCCCATCACAGACTACTTGCTGCACCTGCTGGGGCTGGAAAAGACTGCGTTCCGTGTGTACATGTTGTCTGCGCTGCTGCTCTCTCTGCTCTTCTTCTTCTTCCGCCTGCTGGGGCAGGTGTTCAAGCTCTGCTGGGACTTCCGAGTCACTTGCCGCCGGCTGCGCTGCTTCCCAGAGCCTCCAGGCCGCCACTGGCTGCTGGGCCACGTGAGCATGGTGAGTGGGCAGGGCTGGGCAGGCTGACGTCTGCATCAGATTCATCTTAGGGATTAAGAGACCAAAGCTCAGAGAGGGCAAGCAGTTTGCCCAGAGTCACACAGTTGGGAGGAGGCAGAGATGACTATAAGAGAGACGTTCTTCTTCCCTGCTGGCTAACTTTCATAGTGCCAGAAGGTGCTATGCAGCCTTCCAGGAGAGGAAAGTCATCGATGGACTTACCTGGCACTAAATGCTACAATACAGACCTGCCAGACAAGATGTGACCACTGATGCAATAATGGCACTACAGCTATGAGGGCAACCAACTGCTTCCTGTTTGTGTCTGAGGCCTGCTTAACAGGAGGGAACTCAGGCCTGGAAGAGAAATAAAACAAAATAAAGATTAGTTTTTTCTGCAGTTCTTTAGATACCAATGTAGTAGTAGGTATCATTGCCTATAAAGTTTGGGGTCCAAGGGCTAGAGTGGGGGTGAGGAGGGCATGCCTCTAGATTTTTTTTCTCCAACCTCACCTGTCAGGGTGGGTTTGTATACCCTTGTTCTTGAATTCTGTGATACTATATTATCTTGGGATTGTAACTCTTTCCTTGCATTTGATTCTTTTTTAAAAATTTTTAAAATTTATGTTTATTTTATGTATTTAAGTGTTTTACCTGCATGTATGTCCGTGCAACACCTGTGGAGGCCAGAAGAGGGTGTGGGAATCCCCTGGAACTGGAGTTACTGATGGTTGTTAGCCACCGTATGGGTGCTAGGAACCTAGGTCCTCCTGATTTTAATGCTGAGTTATCCCTCCAGCACCTGATTTAAAAAAAAAAAATAGTCTTGCCAGGTAAGCCAGGCTGGCCTTGAACTCATAACCTTTTTACAGGCTCATGAGTGCTGGGATTATAAGCATACACCATCATACCAGGCTTCTCTAGACAGAGCCAGGGTCTCACTCTGCAGCCCAGCCTGGTCTACAACTCACTATGTGGCCCAGGATAGCCTTAAACTCATAGAAATCCTCCTGCCTCTGGCTCACAGATGCTGAAATTACAATTGTGAGCAACCACCCCTGGCACAGCTAAAGCCTCTTTAAAAAGGCATGGAACCGGGGCTAGAGAGATGGCTCAGTGTTTCAGAGCACTAGCTGCTCTTGCAGAGGACCTGGTTAACATGGCAGCTAACAACAGTCCATGACTCCAGTTCTAGGGGAGCTGACACCGTCTTCTGACTTCTGTGGGCATTGCCCAACATGGGTGCACTTACATACATGTAGGCAATACACTCATATACATTTTTGAAAAAAAGGCAGGGAGCCAAGCATGAATGGAGAGTCCCAGCTTACAGCCTGACACACAACCTGCTCAAGAAGTAGAGATCAGCCTGATGGAGCCAGCTGCTCAGGAGGCTGAGGCTGGAGGTTTGCTTGAACCCATGAGTTTATCCTGGGTAACACATCATAACCTTGTCTTTTGTAGTCTAGGCTGGCCTTGGATTTGCCTTCCTCTAGCTCTCCTGAGAAATCCCTCCTGCTCACAGGCCACCATGGGTTCCCATGACCACCTGAGGAAGGCTGGTGTTTGAGGCCTTCTAGACTGGGACCCACACCTTCCTGATCTGCCCCACCATCTTCCTGAAGTCTCCAAAATTGACTTCCTGTTTCTGGAACTGGGCTCTAACTTCTGGCCTCTCTGGTCCTTTACCAAACTGTGTCTTCTGCTCAAGTATCTTTTTCTTCTAGATGAACTTTTGATCAATTTTCAAATAGATGTCCAGGGGCTTTCCTCCACAAGCCCTCTGTGTTTTTAGGCTTTGTCTGTTTGTTTTCCTGAGACAGGGTCTCACTGTATCATCCAGGCTATTATTATCTTTCTGCCTTTGCCTCTTAACTTCTGAGCACTGGGATCACAGCTGTGCACTACCATGCACAGGTCCCCCCCCCCCCGTCTCTCTCCTTCCCTCTCTCTCTCCAGGGACTCATGTAGCCCAGGCTGGTTTCAGACATATTATATAGCTGAGGATGATGTTGAACTCCTGATCTTCCTGACTCCTCCTGAAAATCATAGATGTATGCCACCATAACTGGTTTAGTGCTATTTACTGACATGGTATTCTAGTTGCTTTTCTGTTGTTGTCATAAAACACTCTGATCCAAAGAAACTTATGGGAGGAAAACTAATGGCTTACATTTCCAGGTCTGTCGTTGAGGGAAGTCAGGGAAGAACTCAAGCAGGAACTGAGGACTGATGCTTACTGGCTCCCTTCCCCAGGCTTGTGCTCAGCCAGCTTTTTTATACAACCCAGGACCACCTGCCCAGGGGTGGCACCACCCACAGTGGGTTGGACCCTCTCATATCAATCAGCAATCAGTGCATTCCCACAGACATGGCCATAGGCCAATCTGATCTGGGAAATCCCTCAGTTGAGATTCCCTCTTCTCAGGTGACTCTTGGTTGTGTCAAGTTGACAATAAAAACTAACCAAGATATATAGCACATATTTGATAAATGTAAACTCTTATTACTGTGTTTATGATTACTGTTTATTCTTTCTTTGCTTTTTCAGCTGTGCTAGCACTCATACGTGCCTGCAGCCTCTCATTGGGGGAGTCTAGGCAGGGGCTCTACTCTTTAGCCATGCCTCCAGTTCCTCACTGGAGGATTCTAGGCATGGACGGTACCTCTGAGCCACACCCCAGCCCCTCATTGGGGGATTCTAGACTATCACCCTGCGGCTGAGCCACAGTCAAAGCCCCTCACTGAGGAATTCTAGGCAGGGGCTGCAGTGCTGAATCATGCCTTCAGCCCTAATGTTTTCCCTTTATTTAGAGGAGGGACATTCAGAGAGGTACAGCCAAGAGACCAAGAAGAGAGAGTTGGTGTCAGGAGGGTTGGACAGGGTGAGCCGGGCTGTCTTGTCTTCACTGCCTCTTTCCTATCGTCCACAGTATCTTCCCAATGAGAAGGGCCTCCAGAATGAGAAGAAAGTGCTGGATGCCATGCACCACATCATCCTGGCCTGGGTCGGACCTTTCCTCCCTCTCTTAGTGCTGGTGCATCCTGATTACATCAAGCCTGTGTTGGGCGCCTCAGGTAGGCAAGTTGGGCTTAGTAGGCATGGGTGAACTTTCAACTTCCAGAAGGCCTTTTGGCTTGTAGGCATGGGGGTGCCCAGAGAAAGGGTCACTTGAGTAGGGCTTTGAGGGAAAAATGGAAGTTTACCAAAGTGGCCCAGGCAGTGTGAATTGTGAGAACAATGTGGGTGAAAGTGTGACAGAGTTTGAGTCCCAGGAACTTTGAGGGGCAGTTCACATCCTGGAAGTCACTTCTAAGTACTTTGTTCACCCAAAGTCTGGTAAGTAGGCGTTGTTCAATACCAGGCCCTTCTTTAAGGTTGTAACCCACCATGACCAAGCATTTTGGTGGCCAAGTAGGGGTGCTGGCTGGCAGGGAAAGAGTGTGGTTGTCTTTCCTGTCCACAGACCCCACCAGTCCCAAGTGCTCATGAGGAGCTCTTATTTACCCTAACACTCAGCTTTAAGGCCTGCTCCACGAAGTCCTCTAGATTTTTCCATTCTCAGTTCTAATCCTTTAGGGGTGGCCATGTCTGTTCAGTACTGTCCTCCTTGAAGTGGGCTCTAGATGGTGAGGATGGCCTTGCATGGAGCTGGCTACCAGCCATGAGGGGACTGCATGAGCTTTGGAGACAGGGTCACTCTGTATAGCCCAGGCTTGATGCTCCTTTCTGAGCCTCCTGAGTGCTGATCACTGTCTCTCTCTCTCTCTCTCTCTCTCTCTCTCTCTCTCTCTCTCGGCACGCATGTGAAGGTCAGAGGACAACTTGTGGGAGTGGGTTTTCTCCTTCTACTATGTAGGTCTTGGGGTAGAACTCAGATGGTCAGGCTTAGCAGCAAGAGCCTTTACCCACTGAGCTACCTCACCAGCTTTCTTGTGTTTTTTGTTTGTATTTTGAGATGGGGCTGTCTTACTATGTAGCCCTTCTGGCCTGGAACTTGCTATGTAGACCAGGCTAGCCTTGAACTCACAGAGATCTACCTGCCTCTGCCTCGAGAGTGCTGCTGGGATTAAAGGCGTGGGAAAACATGCCTGGCTTTCTCTTGTTTCTTTCTATTATACTTTCTTTCTTTCTCTATCTCTTTGCCTCTTGTCTTTCTCTCCCCCTTTTCCTCCTTCTCCCCGCCCCCCCCGCCCCCGAGCATCTGCACATGAGCATCTGCCCGTGACTGGTTTGAATTCTCTAAGTGGAGCCCTAGCTATGCCAGGCACTTGATAGACAGGCCTGGCTCCCTCTCCTCTCTTCTTCTCCATGCCTGGCAGGTTCCTCAGGCCCTGTCTGCCCCCACTGGAGGAACTGGATGGAGAACCAGAAGGACTAGGTAGGGCCCTGAGTCAGTTGGGGAGGGCATGAGGCCCCAGGAGTGTCCGGCCTTCCTGCCCCTCCTTGCTGGCCTGTCCTCCTAGCACTGGGCTGGCCCATTCCCCTCTGAGGCTTCTTACAACATCAAAGGGCACTGAGGAGGCCATGGTGCCTTCTGGAACTTGTCTCTTCATCTTCTGTGAACATTTAGAATAGAGCCTAGTCACAGGGTCTCCCATGTGTCCCAGACTGGCTCCCCCTTCTGGCATGGTGCTCACAGGTGTTCTCCACCACACCCTGCTGTGCTCTTTGTTGTGGAGGTCATGATCCCATGAGCAGCTTGTGCCTTGAAGCAATCCCATTTCTTGTTCCTCTTGCTCCATCTCAGGGCTCCCACAGCCTGCTTTCTGTCTCAATGGACTTGCTAGCTTTGGAACCTTTTGTGTCTGGTTTCTTTCACTCAGCATCATGTTTTCCAGGCTCATCCACACCACTGTGTAAATCAGCACTGTGTTCTTTTTATGGCTGAATAGAGGTCCATTGTATGGCTAGACCAGACTTTGTTCACATATTCGCAGGCTGCTGTGAACATTCACGCACAGGGTTGCTGTGCCCACAGGGTCCCTCCCTTCCTTCCTATTTATTTATTTATTTATTTATTTATTTATTATTTATTTATTTTAAACTTATGTGTATGAATGTTTTGACTGCATTTATGTAAGTGCACCCATGTGTACAATGCCCGCAGAAGTCAGAAGAGGGTGTTGGTTCCCTTAGAACTGGAGATATAGACAGTTGTTAGCTGCCATGTGGGTGCTGGGAGCTGAACCTGGGTACTCTGTAAGAGGCAGCTAGTGCTCTAAGCTGCTGAGCTATCTCTCCAGCCCCCTCCTCCCTTTTAAAACAATACAATTTATTTTTATTATTTTTTCATGTTTGTGTCTGTGTGTAGACATGAACACATAAATGCAGGTGCCCTCAGAAGCCAGATCTGGAGCTGGAGTTACAGGCAGTTGTGAGCCACCCTACATGAGTGTTCGGAGCCAAACTAGGTACTCCTAACTCCCGATCCATCTCTCCAGCCCCCTCCCTTACTTTTAAAAAATTGTATATGTGGGGACTGGAGAGATAGTTCAGTGATTGAGAGCACTGGCTGCTCCTCCAGAGGATCTGGGTTTAGGTCCCAGATCCCACATGTTGGGTACACCTGTCCTTAACTCCAGTTCCGAGGGACCTAACACTTCCTAGGGCATCAGGCACTCACATGGTGCACTTACATACATGCAGGCAAAACACTAAAACACATAAAAATGTACATATGCATGTGTATGGTGTGTGTGTGTGTGTGTGTGTGTGTGTGTAGATTAGAGGAAAATTTGAGAGTCAGTTCTCTCCTTCCACCATGTGGGTCCCAGGGACTGAACTCATGTTGTCAGGGTTAGCTACAAGCACCTTTACCTGTGAAGCCATCTTGCCATTCCCTTTTGTTTGATCTATTTGTCAATGTCTTCTGTTCCTAAGTCTCAGTCACATCTCAGCTCTCTGACTTTCTAAGGAATTCTCTTGGCTTCCCATAGTGCTGGGCATTCATTGTTTAGCTTACAAGCACTTGATGCCAAGAAACAATAATTACAATCACAGAAACGAAACAGCCAGGAGTTAGTTTATGAATCACTGATGTATGTGCATATTGAATGAATATCTGCCATGTACCAGGAACACAGAAAAGCTGTGAGGAAAAGTGCTTTCCCTTGGAAAATGTGATGGAAGGCCAGAGAGATGGATCAGCGGGTAAAGGGACATGCTGCTAAGCCTGACAACCTGAGTTCGGTTCCCAGGTCCCACGTGGGAGAGAACCAATTCCTGCAAGTTGTCCTCTGACCTCCACTCCTTGCTTGACATGCACACTCATACACACAACCACACATATAAGAAATGTAATAAAAAAAATTTAAAAAGAAAATTAGATGGAAGGCCAGGGTGGTGACCTAAGTTTTCGCCTAGTGGTAAGGCTGAAGTCTGACCCCAGGCACAGCTGTTGCAGGAGCTGCTCTGTGTTGGGCATTGTGTAGGGAGATTTTTGTGGCAACTTTCTCTCAACTGGCATTACCAGCCAGGTAAAGGCAGTTTTGCCCTCTAGCAAAAAAGGCATAGGTTCTCCCAGTATGGAAGGTCAGGGTGAATCTGAGAACGGGAAAGCAAAGGTTCAGCTGGGGAGAGGGCTTCTTGGAGGAGGGTCAGTAGAGTGTGACCAGTGAGGAGTCCCAGGTGGAGGGCCTGTCAGTCCAGAGGTACAGATGTGGGAAGGTGCCAAGCACCCTGGGTTGACTGGAGTAGAGGGATGGGTATGGGGAAGTAGGAAACAAGGATGCAAGTTAAATAGGAGCTGGACAGAGAAGTGAACAAGCTTGTACTTTATCCTGGGGCCACTGGGGAGTCATGGCAGATGTATAAGCCAGGCAGCAATTGATCAGATCTTTGTGTCTGAAAAACTCCTGGGTGTCCAGCTTGAAGACCAAAGCCCAGGGGGAGAGAAGTGACTCTACTACCACCTTACTTTCAGAGCCACTTCCTTGAGGAAGCCTCCCCACCTTCCAGGAGCCCTTCTGCTGTGGCTTCCTCGGCATCTAGCATACTGCCTGCCTTTCTGTTAATTGCCTGGCATGCACTTCTGTGTTTCTCTCCCACCCCACCCAGGAACTCCTACAGGCAGGGAGGAGAGCTGAGCCATCACTGGGTCACTGGCATCACCCAGCATGGGTTGGGCACAGAAAGGCAGCAGAAAGTAGAGGGCTGCTGGAGGAGGGTGACTGCATGCAGTTGGCCAGTCCAGGGGAGTGTGCAAGGGTGGCTGTGTCACACCAGGTATGACACCACTTATTTCACATACTTCCTTCTTCGGAGTCTCCCCACTCAAGTCACAGTAGAAGGGGAATGTGTCCATCTACCCATCCATGTACCCACCCATCCACATACCCATCCATCCATCTACCCAACTATCATCCATCCACTTACCCATCCATCCATCCATCCATCCATCCATCCATCCATCCATCCATCCATCCACTTACCCACCCATCTATCCACCCATCCACACACCCACCTACTCATCCATTCACCCACCCACCTATCCACTCATCCACCTGTCTACCTACATACCGACCCATCCATTCATCCACCCACCTACTCAACCATCTTCCTACCCGTACATCTACCAATCCACCTTTCCTTTCTTCCTTTGTTCTTCCTTTGCATATATGTTATTGCTGTGTCTGTATGTGTGTGTATGGCATATGCTGTTTGTGCATGTGTGTGTGTGTGTGTGTGTGTGTGTGTGTGTGAAGTATATGCCGTGTGCGCACCTGTGTATGTGCACACCTGTAGGCCAAGGACAATACCGGGTATGTTCCTCTGTCAGTATCTGCCTTATGCACTTGAGACAGGGTCTCTCACTGAATCTGGGGCTTGATGTTTTCAGCTGGGCTGGCTGGCCAGTGAGCCTCAGGGATTCTCCCATTTTCACTCCCAAGCACTGGAGTCATAGGCATATGCAGCCATGCTTGACTTTTTAGAAAAGTACATTTTTAGTTAATTTATTTTGTATGTGTATTGGAGGGAGGCATGTGCTATGGCACATGTGAGGAGGTCAGAGAACAACTTGTGGAAGTCAGTTTCCTCCCTCCACCATGTCTGTTCTGGAGATAGAATTCAGGTTGACAGACTTGGTGGCAAGTGCTTTTACCTGCTGAGCCATCTTGCTGGCCCCTGACTTTTTTTTTTTTTTTACCTGGGTGCTGGTAATTCAAACTCAGTTCTCATGCTTAACAAGCCCTCTTACCTATGGGGTCCAGCCCCCATTTGTTCTTTGCTCATTCATTCTTTGATTTACTGGATGCAAAAATTTTTGTTTTGTGGCAGGGTTTCATGTTTCCCAGGCTGGCTTTGAATTTGCTATGTAGCCCAGGTTGGTCTTGAACTTCTGATCCTCCTACCTCCACCTGGGATCACAGGTATGTGCTACCATGCCTGGCTCATGTGCATCAACTTTGATTTCTCTGGGATTCAGCTGTATCAGTCTTGCCACATCATCTGCAAGGGTCTGGGGTTCACACCTGATATTGTGAGCCCCTCTTTGTAGTCTTTGGGGGTATGGTGTCCCACTAGGACATGAGGTTCCTAGTTTGCCTTGTCCCTGAAACAGATAATGGTACAATACTAGCCATCTACCCAAGGCCCTCACAATCAGGATGTGCACCTGGCATTCAGCTACCTTAGACATTGTGGAGTGCCCCCTCCTAGAACTGTTGGGATTGTCCTACTGTCTTGTCTCATTAGTACAGGCTCTGCCCAAGCTGAGTCTGGCTTCCTGGCTTCCTGGCTGCCCTGGAGCTCCCTGGCTATTTCCTTATGGCGGCAGACCAAGCCAGATCCAGCCAGAAAATTTGGTGGATGGGGATCTAGAAAAGGAGAGAGATGCTTCTCAACTTGTGACTTGGGCAGTGACTGGTGTGTGGTGTGTGGTGTGGTGTGTGGACACACACTCAGAGGCTAGAAGGGCAACTTTGGTTGTTGTTCTTCAGGTGCCTTCCACCTTTTTTTTTTTTTTTTTTTTTTTTTTTTTGAGATAAGGTCTCTCAAATTGGCCTGGAGCCAATGTAAGCTAGGCTGGCTATTGAACCCCAAGAATTCAGTTTTCTCCCCTTCCCCATCACTGTGATTATAAATGCAGCTTGAAAAAAATGTAGCACCAACATGGCAGCTAACAACTGTCCATAACTCCAGTTCCAAGGGATCCAACACTCTCTTCTGGCCTCCACAGGCACTGCATGCACATGATGCACTTGTATATGTTCAGGCAAAACATTTATACAAAGCAAAACATTTAAAATTACTATTTATTTATTTATTTATTTATTTATTTATTTATTTATTTATTTATTTATTTATTTCATCTATAAGGAAGAAGTGGGGAGGCACTCGGGCCATGGCACATGTATGGTCAGAGAACAACCCACAGGAATTGTCCCTTTCCACCACATGGAGCCCAGGTATTGGAACTTAGAACATCAGGCTTGGTGGCAAGCACCTTTACCCACTTAACTATCTCCGGTCCTGTCTGCAGATTTTTTTAAAAATGGGTCAGGGAATCAAACTCAGTTCTCATGATTACAAAGTATGCACTTTACTAATAACTATCTCCCAGACTGCTTTTGGTATTATGACAAAGAATCCTACTATGTAGCACAGGCTGGCCTCAAACTCACAGCAATCTTCCTGCCTCAGCCTCTGGACTGCTGGGAAAACAGGCACATTTCCCTATGCTCAAGGGCATATCACCTTTCTGAGGGGCTACAAGTGTGGAGATGAATGATAGTGGTGCTGTGAGACTGGGATTATCTGTTGAATGTTGAAGGATGGAGTGGAAGAGGCATGTGGGGGCTGGATAGGGCAGAGTCGTTGGGCTAAGCTCTCTTTCTCTCTTTTCTCTCTGTCTCTTATTAATCTATATCTATCTATCTATCTATCTATCTATCTATCTATCTATCATCTATCTATCTATCATCTATCTATCATCTATCTATCTATCTATCTATCTATCTATCTATCTATCTATCTATCTATCTATCTAATCTATCATCATCTATCTACCTACCTATGAAAACCAAGCTTTCATGACCAGTGAGAGGGCTCAGGGGGTAAAGGTGATTGCAGACCTTTAGGATCCGCATGGTAGAAGGAGAGAATTCACTCTTACAAATTCTCCGACCCCCACATAAGCACCATGATGTGCATGTGCCTACTCAAAGAAACACTCATAACTCTTTTTTAAAAGGTCAAGCTTCTGCTTCTTTTACATTTATTCATTTATCGTGTGCGTGTGCATGCATGTATGCATGCCAGCACCACAGTGCACATATGGAGATCAGAGAACAACTTGTGGGAGTTGATTCTCTCCTTCCACTATGTTGATCTCAGGGATTGAAGTCAGGTTGACTGGCTTGGTGGCAAGCACCCTTACATGCTAAGCCATCTTTCAGGCCCAAGTTTTTTTTTTTTTTTTTTCATTTTTTTCAAGACCAGTATCACATTGTAGCCCAGGTTGGCCTGGAACTCTCTATGTAGCCAATGCTGGCCTGAAATTCAGCAATCCTCTTATCTTAACCTCTCAGTTTCTGGGATTACAAACCCAAACTATCATGCCAGACTCCAAGTTTGAACTCTTTTATAGTAGCAATGGGGAGCCCCAGGAGGTGTTTGAGCAGAGGATTCTGTCCAGATCATCAGCTTGCTTGTTACAGGATCTTTCAGGGGCAGATGTGGAGGATGTGAGGAATGAGATGGGAGGTTAGCGCCTAGAGAGACCAAAGAGAATCAGAAGTCATTCTTGAATCTCATTGCCCCTTCTCTCTCTGCAGCTGCGATTGCACCCAAGGATGAGTTTTTCTATAGCTTCTTGAAGCCTTGGTTAGGTGAGTGCCTGAGGGGAGATGCTGGTGTGAGAAACATGATCTAATTTCATATTAAGAGTACTGGAGCCAGGGTGTGTTGGTGCACACTTTAATCCCAACACTCAGGAGGCAGAGCAGGCGGATCTCTGCCAGCCTGGTCTACATAATGAGTTCCAGGCTAGCTGGAGCTCCAGGGAAACCCTGTCTCAAAAAAAAAAAAAAAAGGAGTACTGGAGACTCATGGAGTTGGAGAGATGGCTCAGTTGTTAAGAGCTTATGCTGCTCTTCCAGAGATGGGAGTTTAGTTCCCAGCACCCACATCCAGCAGCTCATAACTGCCTATAACTCCAGCTACAGGAGAGTGGTTGCCCTTTTCTGGCTTCCATGGGCATCTGCACTCGTGTGTACATACCCTCACACAGACACACACATAATCACATAAATAATAAAGTAAATCTTTGAAAAAAGAGTACTGGAGATTCAGAATAGCTAAAGAAAAGTAGCTTGTTTTACAACCTTGCAAAGTCAGGCTTCAGCCTAGAGAAAAGGCAAAAATAACTGGCGTGCTGATTTAGCATGTAATAGTGGTTTTGATATTTCTAATCACATTTCTTTGCCCTCCCTTCTGTTTCTCATTGGCTGAGTTCTTTAGGGAGATACAATCTTCCTGGTATTTAGTATTGCCCCCTCCCCAGATTCCCATCCCATTGGTTCTAGACAGAGCCTTAGCTAATTAATGTATCTCCTGGGGGCTCAGTCATGTAGCAGAGGGCCTGTGACTTTTCGACCGTAGGATGAACTGAGAGTGCCTAAATAAGCAGACTCCAGCTGCCAGCCCGGAAAGACTGGGTCTGAGTGCCTCCTGCTCATCTGTGATTCTCTGATGAGCTCTAAGTGCATCCCATACTGAAAATGGACCATAATGGTTTATTTCTTACACAGAAGAATGGGGGAGGGCATGGTCTCCTAGGAGGGTTTCAGGGGGGGATAGGAGAGGCCTCTAACCTTGGTTTTCTGTGTCTAGGGGATGGGCTTTTGCTCAGCAAAGGGAACAAGTGGAGCCGGCATCGCCGCCTGCTAACTCCCGCCTTCCACTTTGACATCCTGAAACCCTATATGAAGATCTTCAACCAGTGTGCTGACATCATGCACGTAAGTCCTGAGGCTGAGTGAAACGTGAATGCTGTCCTTAGGCTACTCGACAGAGAGACCTCCCTTCTTAGATCTCTATTGATTGGCAGTGAGGATCCTGTTTGTGGTCTCCATGCTCCCTTGTCATGTGTCTCCCTTCCAGGTCAAATGGCGGCGGCACCTGGGAGAGGGCTCAGTGGCCTCCTTTGACATGTTTGAGCACGTCAGTCTCATGACCCTGGACAGCCTTCAGAAATGTGTCTTCAGTTACAATAGCAACTGCCAGGAGTGAGTGCCATACCCCACCCCCCCAGGCGGGAGGGGGTGGAAGGAGAGAGGGACCCTTTCAGCTGTGTTGCCAACCTGGTGAATACTCAGCCCCCAAGAAGATGGCACCATCTCCATGAGTTTTAGTTTCCTTATAAACACACAACCATCATAAATCTTTCTCCACAATCCTTAAGTGAGGACTAAATGAGATGATGCAGCTGGGTGTGGTGGTCCCTGCCTGTGAGCCCTCATCCCAGCACTTAAGATGCTGAATCAGGAGGAGCTTGAGTGTGAGGTTAGCCTGGACAATTTAGTGAGACCCTGTCTCAACAATGGCCATATAAATACACACGTAAATAAATAAAATAACATGATGCGCGTCAGTGGCTTGGCAAGCAGAGGGGGCTCAGGAAATGCTATTTGCCCTCAGCCTTTGAAACCTGGGGAAATCTCTCATCTCTATCTCTATCTCTGTCTCTCTCTCTCTCTATCTCCTTCCTTCTCCCCTCTTCCTCCTTTCCCCACATCCTCCTCTCCTCTTCCTCTCCTCTTTCTCCTACTACCTTCTTCTCCCCTCCAACCTCCCTCCCCTTAGTCTTCCTGAGGTTTGAGACAGGCTCTCACTACATACTTAGGCTAGCCTCTTGATCCTCCTGCCTCCAGCTTCTGAGTACTGGGATCACAGCATGAGCTGTTAAGTCTTTTGTTAAGCAGAGATGAAAATATCTGACTCTGAGAAATGCCTTAAGTTTGTGTGGGGGACACAGTAGGTGTTCAGTGGATATGTACTGCTGAACTAATAGAATAACTTACCTGGTTTGTTCATTTCTCAAAAATTCATTGTGGGGCTGGGAGTGCAACTAAATAGTAGTGTGCTTGTCATTGCACAATACTAGAGATGGAGTCCCTAAGGTCTCTAGTATTGTGCAACAAAATAATAAAATAGGTACACACCTGTAATCCCAGCACTTGAGATGTGGAGGTAGGAGGATCAAGGTTCAAGGTTACCTTCCTAGGGATTTTGAGTCCAGCCTGGGCTTCATAAGACTCTCTCTCAAATAAAATAATAAAATAAAATAAAATAGGGCTGGGGATGGGATGTAGCACAGTAGGTAAAGTCCCTGCTTAGCATATGCAAAGCCCTGTTTTCTATCCCCAGCACCCAAAACAAGCAAACAACAAAGCATAAGAAAATAGTCACTACAGGGCCTGTTTGTTGTTATGGAGGTTTGGCCCCATCGCGCCTCACTGGGTGGTGCAGGCGGTTTACTAACCCTTTCTCCTCAGGAGGATGAGCGATTACATCTCCGCCATCATTGAGCTGAGCGCTCTGGTGGTACGGCGCCAATATCGCCTGCATCACTACCTGGATTTCATCTATTACTACCTCACGGCCGACGGGCGGCACTTCCGCCGGGCCTGCGACACCGTGCACAGCTTCACCACCGAGGTCATCCAGGAGCGGAGGCGGGCACTGCGGCAGCAGGGCGCCGAGGCCTGGCTCAAGGCCAAACAGGGCAAGACCTTGGATTTCATAGACGTGCTGCTGCTGGCCAAGGTGAGGCTGGGCGGGAGCGGGAGTCCCTAGCGGCTGCCCCTGGAATCACACCCTCAGCAGAAAAATGTTCACACTCATGTGGGTATGCAGAGTCAAGTGTAGGGGTACAAGACAGATTGCAACTCAGATGCAACAACAAAGCACTGCAGTCCTTTTAAATGAACTGAGGCCCGTTTGTAGCCTAGCATGTGGTCTGTCCTGTAGAGTGCTCCTATACCCTTAAGAAGGTAAGCACAACCTGTAACCTTTATACCTAGGAGAATGAAGCAAGAGGATCTCATGTTTGAGGCCAGCCTGGCATGCATACAGAGCCTGTGGGGGGGGTGAGGGAGTGGGAGAGAGGGAGAGAGGGAGAGAGATATTGATTGAGGAGATGGCTTAGTGGATAAAGGTGCTTCTTGTAAAGCCTGACAACCTGAGTTCAGTCTCTGAGTTCCACAGGTTGAAGGTGAGAACTGACTCCTACACATTGCCTTCTGATCTTCACATGCCCCCATGGCTCACTTGTGTGTGTATATGTGCATATCCAAAATAAATAAATAAAAATAAATAAATAAATGTCAAAAAATTAAAAACGAAAAAATGAAAACAGAAGGAAAAAGGAAAGTGGGGGAGGGTAGAGAGATGGCTCAAGCAGTCAAGAACACTGACTGCTTTGCAGAGGACCTCTTTTTGATACTCAGCACACACATGGTGGCTGATATCTGTAACTCCAGTTCCAGGGGATCTGACACCCTCTTCTGGTCTCTATAAGCTTTGCATGCACATGGTGAACTTACATACATGCACACAAAAAAATTCAGAAACAGGCAAAGGCACAGATCTGACTTTGGGGAGCCCCTAGGGTACAGAGCATAGGTAAGGGGAGCTGAGCATACTCCACTGTCCATTCCAGGATGAAAAGGGAAAGGAACTGTCTGATGAAGACATCCGGGCTGAGGCAGACACCTTCATGTTTGAGGGTAAGGACTTGGGGGTGAGGCTGAGGGTGGGTGGCAAGGGCACCACTGTCCTGTTGGAGGGATGCCTGAGTGGAGACAACAGCCTCCAGATACCTTTCTGCCCACAGGTCATGACACAACGTCCAGTGGTCTGTCATGGGCGCTATTCAACCTGGCAAAGTATCCAGAGTACCAGGAGAAGTGCCGGGAAGAGATCCAGGAGGTCATGAAAGGCCGGGAGCTGGAGGAGCTGGAGTGGTCAGTTTGAAGGGTCAGGATGCTTGAAGGGACCAAGTTGAGGCCGAACTTCGGGTGTGACTCTCTGTTCTACCACTTGCCTGTTGTGTGATTATAGGCAAGCCACTTGGCTTCCAAAATTCCATTTTGTAACATGGGAACGATCATGATACCTATGCCTACTTCAGCAGTTCTTAGAGTGTCTTCACCAGCAACTGTTGCAGTCACATCACATAACAAATGTCCCTCAGATTCAGTGGCTTGTAGCAAGCGTTTAGTTATTGCCTTTTCCTGCACATGACTCTTGCAGCTTCTGGCCTCACTTGAGTGGGGCAGGACAGCTTCTAAAACTGTGGGCCGGATCAGATCTCTTCTGAATGTCTCTTCACTCTCTTTGGATCTAGGTCTGCTCTGAGGGCATATTCTTCCCAATGTTGATTCCAGAAGTATAAAAAATTGAAACACTGTGGTGAAGGCAGGTCACATTATGAAGCCTACAGCAGTAGGGCAGGGTGGCCCCTCCACAGACCTGAGTAGATGGTGCTTCAGAAACATGTGCTAAGGATAATCTTCATGTATGAGTGTTGTGTCACCCTGTTTCCAAGGATCCATGAACAAATGTCTTCTTTCCCCAGATAGGGAGCCAATGACAGACCAAAGTAAAGTACCACCAAATCCAACTTGGTGAACAAGTGAATTTATTGAGGCTACTTACAGGAATATGGGTGAGGTGTTACTTATAGGAGCAGAATTGACTCAGAGATAGCTGTATCACCAGAGCCCATCCTAGCATAGGTAATGGCTCACACTTGTACACCAAGTGTGTTACCCATTGAGCCATCTCCCCTGCATGTTGGGGGGAGGGTTCAGAGGATAACCTGCAGAAGTCATTACTCTCCTTTCACCATGTGGGTCCTGGGGATCAAAATCAGGCTGTCAGCTTGGCAGCAAGCACCCTTATTCACTGAGCCATCTTGCCAACCTTGAGGGAGCCTTCTATGCCTCTCTCTCAGTCTCTGCTGGTTTGCTGGTGATCTTGCCACTCCTTGGCTCAGAGATTCATCACCATGACGTCTGTCTCATCATCACACGGCATTCTTCCTGTGGCTCCCCACATCCCTTCCCCTTTGTGCATATCTGTGTCCAAATTCCCATTTTTATAAGGACGCTGATTAGATTAGTGACAGCCCACCCTAACAACCCCATATTGACTGCATTTACAAAGATCATACTTACAAATAAGTTCATATTCTTGGGTACTGAAGAGTCAGGACTTCAATAGTTCTAGTTTTTTTTAAAATGTATATTCTTTAACCCATAGTACCTCTAACCCATTTTTGACCCTGCAGTAGCCTTTGGTCTATGAGGTATGTTGGGTTTTGCTTTTTCTTTCTTGCCTTTCTTTCCATTATTAACTATCTTTTCTTTTCCTTCCTTCCTTCCATTTTATTATTTATTTATTGTTTATTATTTGTATATGAGTTTGTGGGAGTGAATCGCGCCACTAGTGTGGATGTCAGAGGATAACTTTTGGGCATCAAGTCTCTCCTTCAACCATGTGCCATGTGGGTCATAGGGATTAAACTCAGGTTGCCAGGCTTGGCAGCAAGTGCCTTTATCCACTGAGCTCTCTCTCCCTCCTTCCCTCCTTCTCTCCCTCCCTCTCTCCCTTCTTTTTTTTTTGGTATTTTTGAGACAGGGTCTCCCTGTAGCCCCAGCTGTCCTGGAACTCACTATGTAGACCAGGCTGGCCTTGAACTCACAGAGATCTGCTGGCCTCTGCTTCCCAAGTGCTGGGATTAAAGGTGTGTACTACTATGCTCTGCCTCCCTCCTTTTTTTTTTTTTTGAGATGGTAGGGGGGTCTCATTATGCCTAACTTGGAACTTGCTTTGTAACCCAGACTGGCCTTGAACTAACAATCTTATTGCCTCACCCTCTCAAGTGCTAGGATTACAAGTGTGCAGCTCCATGTCCAATGGGTCTAGTAGTGCATACCTGTAGTCCCTGTTACTCAGGAAGCTGAGGCAGGGGAATTGCTTGAGACTAGAAGTTCAGGATCAGCTTGGGCAATATGGTGGGATGCTATATATTAAAACAAGAACAAAAACCCACAGAAAAACAAATAAGAACGGACAAGGCCGTACTCTAGCTTCTCCCAGCTCACTGCTCCCTTGCAGTGTACAGTATACATCAGTGCTGGGCTCAGTAGGGGCCCCAGCAACCAGCCCTAGTGCTTGCAGTTTTCGTCTATCATTACTGGGATGGGGTGGTGGTCAGTAGTTTTGTTTGTTTGAACCTATGGTCTCACGTATGCTAGGCCAGTGGTCTACTGCTGAGCTATATCGCCATCTCTCCACCTTTTGCTTATTTTATTTTATTTTATTTATTGTTTTTATTTTATGTGTATGTGTGTATTGCCTGCATGTAGGTAAGTGCACCCATGTTGTGCAATGCCTGAGGAGGTCAGAAAAGGCTGTTGGATCCCCTGGGACTAGAGTTACCGACAGTTGTTAGCTGCCGTGTGGGTTCGCTTCTGCAAGAACAACCAGTGTTCTTAACCATTGAGCCATCTCTCCAGCCCCTAGAATTGCATTTTATACACTTCTGCAACATGTCCTCCCCAGGATGTGAATCCCTACAAACTAGTATATAAAGGACTTGCTTTTCTCTCAAATTTTTTTAACAGTGCAGCGATCATGATCATCATAGATACATGAATTCACCAGTGATGAGGCTCCTCTGACCTACCCACCCTTTGCCCCTCACACACACAGATACTCTGGCCCAACACCCACCCTAGAGCCCTTATCATCCCTTCATGGGAGTACACAACTCCATAGTACTCCAGTGAATACAGTAGGGCCTTAGGGAGACAGACACACCCCTGAAGGTGACTGCATCTTACGCACCTGCGCACCCAGTGTTCTCAAGCAAGAAGACCTCCAGGGAATGACACCATGTTTGAGAATTTCTTAACAACTCATGCTCCTTGAAAACAGAAACAGCATTCGCTCCCACCCCCTGGCTGATGTGAGCATTTGGGGGAGTAATTTCAGCACACAACCATGGCATCAGGGGAGCAGTCAGAGCACCCAGCTATGGCAAGGACTCAAAGTTCTCACTGCCATTGATTGGGTATGAGGACTGTACTGTGCTTGCATTGCAGGTCAGAGGGCACATGCTGTTGTAAGGCGAACCTGGGTCTTCTATAAGAACAACCAGTGTTCTTAACCACTGAGCCATCTCTCCAGCCCCCACCTTCTGCTTTTATTACATTTATTTGTTTGTTTATTTAGTGTGTGAGCATTTGTATGTGTATGTGTGGGCACGTGTGTGCCACCATGTGCACGTCGGGGGTCAGAGGACAACCTTGGGGAATCAGTTCTCTCCAGGGTTTAACTTGCTAAGTCATCTTGCCTGCTTTTCCTTCCTTTTTGTTTTGAGACCTCAGTAAGTTGCTCAGGTTGACCTTGAACTCACTTTGTAGCACAGCCTCCTGAGTAACAGGAGGATTACAGGCCTGGTTGGTGGTCAGATATTTTGCATCCTAAGAGCTCATGTTGGCAGGCCTGAGATCACAGCCTGTGCCTACAACAAGCCAGATTTGGCCACATATCCTTCATAAATCAATTAAAATAGCCAAATTAATAGAGAAAAAGCAGAAAAAGGCAGTTTCTTCAATGTGGCAGCATTGAGAAGAGAGATCTAGTGACATCCCCAAGTCTATCTTAGGGTCCTGAAATGAAGTTAAGGTTTAGAGATCAGTGTTATGCAAAACTAAACAGTCCCAGACAAGGTGTGGACCTACCCACCACTGACCCATCATGGCCTCTTCTGTAAGGTGGTCTAACAAGCTATCTCTGGTTGACCAAAGCTTTAGGATTTTTCTTCTCCCAGCATGAGATTCCCTGGGTAATTCCATTTCTTGGAGTCCATTATTACAATAGTCTAATATGCAGAGGGACACAAGTGTCTCTACAGAGACATCTTCATCCCTGGAAGGCCTGTCACACTCATGGCACCTGCCTGTGATATCTGCAAACTGCCTTTCTGAATCCTTAGACTGTGTGTATCTATGTGTGTGTATCTATGTGTGTGCATGTGTGCAAGTGTGTAAGTGTATGAGAATGTGTGTGTGTATGTGTCTGAGTGTGTGAGTGTGTCTGGGGAGTCACAGTTCCTTTCTCTTCAGGGATGACCTGACTCAGCTGCCCTTCACCACTATGTGTATCAAGGAGAGCCTTCGTCAGTTCCCGCCTGTGACGCTCATCTCTCGACGTTGCACTGAAGATATCAAGCTGCCAGATGGGCGCATCATTCCAAAAGGTGCTTACCCTGTGCCCTTTGCTGCTGGAGCACTGTCCACAGGGGCCTGGCCACGCCTACACTGGGTACATGGTCCTTGTGGAGGGGGAAGCTGTGCCTATTGCTTTCAGGGTCTGATGAAAACAACTCTGATAAAAATAACAAGGGAGAAAGGGTTTGTCTGGCTCACAATTCCAGGCAGAGGAGTTAAAGAGGTAGGAACTTGAAGCAGCTGGTCACATCACATCCACAGTCAAGAGCAGCAAGCAATGAATGAATGCATGCCTGCCAGCACTCAGCTCACGCTCTCCTTTTCATTCAATCCATGGCCATGAAATTGTGTCACCAACATTCAGTGGGTCTTCCCACCACAGTTAAATCAATGAAGAAAATCTCTACTGGAGTTGGAGGCATTGCTCAGTGGTTAAGAGCACTTGCTGCTGCTCTTCCAGAGGACCTGAGTTGCACTCCCAGCACCCTGTTGGGTGGATCACGATCGTCTGTAACTCTACTTCCAGGGGGATATGATGCCCACATTTGGCCTCTGCAGGCACACGTATACATACAAAAAAAGAAAGGCTGGGCATGATAGTACATACCTTTAATCCCAGCACTCAGGGGGCAGAGGAAGAGATGGACAATCTCTATGAGTTTGGGACCAGTCTGTCTGGTCTACATAGTGAGTTCCAGGCCAGTGAGGGCTACATAGTGAGAACATGTCTCAAAAAAAAAAAAAAAAAAAAAAAAAAAAAAAAAAAAGAAAAAAAAAAGGGGCCGGGGGGAGTTGTTAAAAATTAAAAAACCCT